ATATTACGAGGCTGCACAGGTCCGCCGTCTTTGGTTGAGGATATGTCCTTGGGGCCAGCGACGGATAGTGTAAGTTGCGGTCCTCTCGAATCTCCTTGAAGTGCTAAAACGAAAAAAATTATCCATCACACTTTGCAAACTTTTCCTGTTAAGTTCTTGGCAGTGCCCTATTTTATATCTGAGAAGTGCCTCTTTTCATTGTTTTAGACTTTTCTTTGTGCTTTAGTGCGAAAGAGGCTATGGGAGCCAAAGTGGCTGCTTATATGCAAAACTTTTCCGGGCGAGCATGCCCCCGTGCCCTTCTAGCAGGGTTTGCCTTCGTCTTAATTACATACCAAGGTGCCCTTTTTTCACGCGCCCTTCCACTTTTTAGTACCCCCCTACGCCGCTGGTTAATGGAGAGTTACGATTATATCTGATAGCTAGTTAGTATACCTTCGGCTGATAATCCTGCAGGATCAACTTCATCTTCCAACTCGAGTTCCAACTGTTCCAAATTTTCCTCGATATCCTCGTTGCTGTCGCTTTCATTTGCTGCTTCCACAATGTCCGACATCGACTGTTCGGCTTCCGAAATGGTGACGTAGTTGTCAGCATCTACATTCGTGACTTCGGGGTCCAAGCTAGAAGTTGTACCTGGAAGTTTAAACAAATGATTTACTACCCTGTTTTACATGTGTGAAAAAGATTATAATATCTCCTGGGAGATGGACAAAAAGGCATTTTTACTAATCAATCTTTTGTGACTCTTAATATCAAAATCATCCAAAAAATTATTTTTATTTGTAAATAAAACGAAGAAATTTATACGTCTAACAAGGTTTATTCCTCATCCAGTCATAGCCAGGTATATTTGTTTAAATATGTCGCAGTCGCAGTGAAATCCCATATTATATAGGTCCGAAAATAAGAAACTTTTAATTTCTGGAGAGCTAGGTTTCCTATAAAAATACACGTTTTTTTCTTAATAAGGAACTTGTTTATAAAAAAAACTAGAAGGATTTATCGTAAATAGTAATAGATGGTTTCCCTTAAAAATAGTAAAAAATAAGAAATTTGGAAACTATTAGTACTCTGGGCTTGAGTCAAGTTTCTTATAAATAAAAAAACGTGTACGTAGAAGCAAAACACTACAAATATGTATGGTTGGGATGGGGTAAAATGGCTTAGCTACTACGTAAATGAGTTTGATTGTTTTTATGGCTGAAGCCCTTTGCTAAGTGTTTTTCCTCGTATTAAAAGGACTTAAATATTAAAACGTATAACATACCACGTTCGATTTGCTCTTCGTCTTGAATTTTCGAAATTTCAACTTCTTGTTCTTCGGGGTCTTCTGTTGTTCTTTCAGTTTCAAAATCATTAACCTTTCGTTTCTTTGGAAAAGTACCGCCTTTTGATTGAAAAAATGTTTTTATTTTTCTCTGCTGCGAGTCCGTTTCAACTATTGCCGTCGTAGGAGCAGTCCTTCCCATTGCAGCCAAATCTTTGTGCTTGGACTTCGTGTGGCGGGCAGCGTAATCATTGTTAAATACGTCATTACATATACTACATCTAACACTGAAACGGGTAACATTTGTTGCCATATCGCTATCGCACAAAAATATTCCGATGTTGTAGGTTGGTTATAGCAAGCAAGATTTGGACGAACTGCACTATCCATAACATAAGATCAAATTTAACAGCATGCGGAAAACACCTGGTACTGAACATCTAAACAACCAATTCAAACTTCTTATAACAGATTATTATTTACCATGAAATTGATGTGTCGATGAGTTGTTTTGGGATGAGCTTCCTGAATTCTGATAACAGTCCTTTTAGAAATTTCTATTTCCGCCAAAACTTAAAAAATTCGCTCCGACAAAAAAAATTCAAGCATAATTTATCTTCCGACGGAGGGGCTAGCCTCCTCCGACGGGGGGGCTGTAGCCCCCCCTGCCCCCCCTCTGGCGCCACCACTGTGATTTTCTAATTTTGACCACGCTTCGCCAGCTGTGTTCGCTGATCGAACCAAAGATAACTGACTGTCACTTATCGATAAACAAATGGTCGCCAGTGCTTTCCTCGCACGCTTTCGAAATTTCTGCACAGAAGCTTCCGTGGCCCCATTCCCTGCAGGTTCCACTTCTTCGCCAGAAACTATACCCCAAAGATCCTTATCTTCGAGAACCATTTGCATTTTGAACTTCCATAAATGAAAATTCGTTCCATCGAACTTATCAATGTGCTGTGACATAAACTCCATCGGTTTCGCAGCCATAATTTGCACTGAATTTAAAATCGTCGAAAGTCAGCTTCGTGGCAAATACTATTCGAATTTATCAAAACTCCTGGGCCCATAACCTGTTAAAATCAGGAGTTTTACGCACAGAAACAAGCGATTTAAGATAAATTCATCCATAACATAACGGCGATTACAACTCGAACGAAAACTTAGAAGAAGTAAATTCTTACAGCTCACAGCATGACAGCGTGCAATAAAAGCGGAAGTAAACGTAATTGTTCGTAACTAAACAATAGCTCTATTTTTTGTATATTCTAACACATATAGGGAAATCGTTAATAACTCCAAAAATTGGACAGATATCTCAAAACAAACCTCAGAATCGGGTTCGGCATGCCTCAATCTACCTTTTAGATGCTTATTTAATTCAACTACGGCAATTTTTACAGAATAAATGATAATGTTTTTCTTCTACGTTAGCTTGATGCGTGTCTCCTCCGTAGCGACGGGAGCAAATAGGCAAAACACGTTGAAAAGCATTGATTTAACTAAAAATAAATAGCAAAAGGTAGAAATATCAATATAAAAAACACATTCTCTTCATATTCATCCAAATTTCACACCTCCTGCAACGAGGGTTACAAGTTTTCTTTAAATAAATCAGCTGAGTGATCGACGCGCTCGGGGTCAAATAGGGAAATCAACATTTGGGGTCAAATAGGGAAATGACTAAAAACTGCAAGAAACAAGCACGAAAAAGAAAACTAACCTCATTCAAAGGCAATGAGTAATTAAATCTGCTCTTTCTATTCATCAACTCGCATCACGGCACCTTGCAAAATTCAGAACGATAAAAGCGAAATTCCTTAAGTATATATCCACGACATGTATCCCGAGGGACAATTTACTGTCAAGGAGGCCTCCAGGATTATTGTTAAAAAAAAAGTTGAACCCCCTGTGTCCCTTCAATGTTGTCTCTACCTAAGCATCTTTGAAATATGAAAGTAACGATGAATGATAAAACGTTCTGATTTTTCTTTTCTAACATTGCGAGTGGGATTCATGTATTCACACAACTGTACCTCGTTCCTTGTTTTTATTCATACTTAGTGCTAAACTTTAAATCACGTTATATGACATAATATCTCATATCCTGCATGCCACTTTATCTGCATATCCTGTCTATCAACATCGATAAATGATATACCATTCCATATTCAATACCATTCCACATTCCGGATTCCGTATTCCGGATTCCTTATTCCGGATTCCGTGTTTCAAAGGTAGCCCTTTGAACCCTTATTGTGTTTGATGTTTTTCGATTGTAAACCATGAGATATCATGCCATGATTGATAACCCTCCATTTGCGTTGAAAGTTCCCTGTAGTAGGCATCATATAAAAAATGTTTTTAGAAGGCGTCACGATTTGAAAACATCATTGATAAGAGGCGAGCTGCTACTGTCATCAAATTTTCCGACTGGATAAAAGATTGTCACACCCCAGTATTTACGTGCCTGCGCATACAAACGAAACAGATTCGCATTGAAAGAAACTGATTCACGCTGACAGAAAAACTAATCAAGCGAGTTGCACAGAATGAAATCGCATTCGCGCACAATTAGAGCAAGTCGCACAGAAAGAAATCATCATTTTGTTTTATATGACGCTGGCTGTCAGCAAAAGCTTTTCTTCCATATGTTTTTCAATCAAAACAATTGGTATTTAGTTCATTTAAATTGAATTTGTGCCAACCGCAATAGCCAAAGTTTAAATAAAGAAGTCGTTACTATCTGACGAGTGAGTCACTTCTTCCTCCGAAGTTGCAAAGTATTGCTCCCACTTTGAACCGGAAAATGATTTCTCTGCATCCGCATTTGAATGTTAAACTAAATCGGAAGAATGTCTTGGCAATATAGGCTATCCAAGATGTCCTACCGATGTGCTGAAGGTGCATGACTTTTTTCAATAAGGCTATCTTCTGCTGCGAAATGAGGCCATCTCATAAATAAAATACTCCATCTGGCATTTTTCTAATGATGGATTTATATATGGATTTGGCTCCTTACACGTGAAATTAAGAAGAACAGCTTTATCTCCTTGTCACAGTACACCCAGGGCCGGTTCCATGGGGGGGTGTGGGGGGGGTGTGACACCCCCCCAAGAATTGAGTTTGGCGATTTACTCGGTAAAGTTCGATTTTTGGTCGGTAAAATTATGTTACAAAGTTTTATATTAAATGCTGTGTAGTGCATCACTGCGCAAAAAGCAATTAAATATGCATAACATTTTGAATATCTAGTTTTCTTCATTATTGCCCTGTGCCTACAAAGACCATGTGATATTTGCTGGTGTGGTCTCATTCGGTGAGAACCTGAGAAACCATTTGTGTTTCCTGCTTACTCTATTGTTCCCTATTGTTCGAATTCCACTGATCGATTTATTCAATAAAACTAAACATAGTGACTGACGCCACCTGTGAAGAAGGCGCGAAACCCGCGAAGCAACATTCTCTGGTAATCCTTTATCTGAATGAAGCTGAGCTGACGAACAAAAGTAGAATTGAAAAAAATAGTAACAGTAATAAGTATTACGCTACTTGAAAGGGAAACGGCAGCTTTTCAGGTAACTCAAAAACTTGCTTCAAATAATGATCTTTCTGTTTTTTGAATTTTATTTTCTGAAGACATATCCATATAATCATTTGTTTTGAATTTTGTAATTCTCGCGTAAGCCTGTGACAAAAAGTCTAGGCCTGTTTGAAAAGCAAGATTTTCCAAGATTTGACAAGGCCTGAGTTTGAGCTTTTGAGAATTTTTTCAAGTGGGTCTCTTCATCTGAAGTAAAACTGAGAACAATTATTTTTACCAGGCTATGTTTCACTGCTATGAAAAGAAGACAAGTAAAAATAAGATGCAAGGCAAAAGGGTGTAATTCCCAGTTCAACAGTGACTATCGCCTCCAACACAATAGAGAGAAACATGAAGGCAAAAATGTGCCATATGAAACCGCAGGTGCAGTTAAAAACCCTTTCGAAGCAGCTAAACGCAAGAAAGATAATCCAATTGAAGAAAAAGATTCATCTTCTTCATCTTCATCTGAGAAGATATTGGATGACAAAACCGAAGAGATTGGGTTAGCGAATTCTGCAAAAGAAGAATCAGTATCTAATATTAGTAATGTTGTCGGTGAGAATGTGGTTGATGAGGAGAGCGAGAGTGAGGCTGAAAACTCCGAAAACGATGACACCGATGATGAAAATGATGATTATTGGATTAGCTGTGCGGGAAAGCTCAAGCATCTGCTATCCACTTTGGAGCAAAGAGGTAATTTGACGTTAAACATTCTAACACAACCATGTACCCCAAATATCGAAGAGTTTGCGATATCTGCAAAAGAGTTTGCCAACGAGATTAAAACCCAGTGTAATGATTTAGAAAAATCTGCTGAACGACTTAAAGTCAAAATTGACAGGCAAAAAGGATCTGTACAACCTGGAGAAGCAGCAGCACTAATAGAACACGACCCTGGAAAAAGAAAAAAGATTTGTCGGATAGCCAACGCCGTTTTGTGATAAACCTAGGTCCCTACCAGCCTCGCTTGACAGTTTATCCAAGTAATGCATTCATTGAATCTGGTAAACAAAATAAGTTTTCAAGCACCTGGTTCAAAGATTTTCCACATCTTGAATATAGCGTTCAAAATGACGCAGCATTTTGCTATGTTTGTTCCTTATTTCCAAACGGCGCTGGAAGACCCTCTTCAGATGCTTCATGGACTATTAATGGCGTTAGACAGTGGCACAAAATGAAGAGTGTTGGAAAAGGAAAGAAGGGCAAGCTGATACAGCATTTCACCAGCCAAAGTCACAGAGAAGCATTACGAGATTTTGCAAGATTCACTAACCCACATCAGAACGTTGATGCACTTTTGGATTTGTCTCGTCGTCATGAAATGATTAAAGAAACTGACGACGCAATGTTTAACACCAAAATTATGTTAATATTATGTGATGCTGCTCGCACCATGGCTATGCAGGACCTTGCATTTCGTGGAAATACTGACGAATCCAGCAACTTTCATGAGATTGTGAAGTTAATCAGTCGACATTGCGGCATTTTGAAATACTGGCAGAACCAAACAAGGATGCGACCATACCATGTTACCTATATGAGCAAAGACACCCCAAATTAGTTGATAAAGTTGCTAGGTGACGCAGTGAGGCATCGTATGGTGAAGGAGCTAGAGGAAGTCTCAGCGTTCTCAGTAATGGCTGATACTACCCCGGACACAAGCAATAAAGATCAGATGGCAATTGTTGTAAGATACGTCATCAATGCCAAGCCGGTTGAGCGTTTACTGTGTCTGAGGATTCTCAAAGACAAGTCCGGAGAAGGCCATGCTGCAGAAATTTTGAAAGCTCTCAATGAGTGTAGTGTGGACCCACAAAAACTCGTCTTTCAATCGTACGATTTTGCGTCATGTATGTCTGGAAAGTATAAAGGATGCCAACGAGTGCTAAGTGATAAAATTCAAGAAGATTTTCCACACAAAAAGGAAATCCTTTACATCCCATGCCAGGCTCACAGGCTGAGTACATATGTAGAACGAAGCTCCAAAGCAAGCAGTCTTGTATCATCGATGTTTGACATATTACAGTCATTGTACACATTCTTTTCTAGTAGCACCAAGCGATCTGAAGCACTTGAAAAAGCACAAGTTGAAATAGAAGGGGCCTTGAAGATGCGAAATCTTTCGCAAACTCGTTGGATTGCTAGATCTGAATCTATTGACAGTGTCTGGATCTCTTTGACATTAATCGTCTCGCTGCTCGAGCAGATAATGGATAGACAACTTGACTGTGACAAAAACACACAGGATCAAGCCAAAGCAATTTTGAAGAAAATGAAAACATTTGATTTTGTTTTCAGCTTGGCTACTATGAGATTCATAATGCGGCGCTGTAAGGTTCTGGTTGTGCAACTTCAGGAAGAGGGTTTGAATTTACTCGACGCACTTGAGCTAGTGTCATCGACAACTAGGGCGTTAGAAAAGATTCGAAATGAAGATGACGTGCAAAAGCAGATTGAAGCTGCCACACAAATTGCAATGCACATGGGAATAAATCCAGAAGAGGAGTTTCAGCACCGCCACAGAAGAAGATTGATTCCAAGAAGAATTGATGAAAACCGAGACAATGAGGAGGCATTCTCCTTCCAGACGTTTTATTCGAAAGAGATTTATTCTGTACTTGATCAGATAATTACAGATTGTAAAGAAAACTGGGGTAGCATTTTGAAGAAAATAAAGCCGTTCACTGTTTTGTTGCCTCCTTGGGATAACTTAAGGGAAGAACAAGCAGAGGATCTGGAGCATTTGTTGTCGGGGAAAGTTTCAAGTGGCAGTCTTATTGCAGAGCTTACTGTTTTGAGAAAGGACTTCCAAGAGAAAAAGTTGGTGAAGAGCATGACAGTCCGTGAAATTGCAAAGTTCGTATATAGTCGAAGGCACATTTATCCGGCAAGCAACACAGCATATACATTCCTTCAAACAGCACCAATTACTGTGGCTTCAAATGAAAGATTTTTTAGCAAACTAAAGTTGGTGAAGACTAAGCTGCGGAGCACAATGCTCCAGGACCGCCTGGAATCTCTGATGCTGATATCATGCGAGAAGGATTTCTCTGAAAATGTCAACTTGGAAGATGTTGTCAAGAACTGGATACACTTAAAAAACAGAAGAGTTTGATTTGACACTACTTAAAGTTAATTTATTCATATATTGCGCTATAAGAACTGAAAAAGAGGCTGGGTCAAAAGCTCCTAATTAAATGACTCGCAAAAATCTGAGGGTTATTTTTTGACCCACCATTGACTCTGTATTTTTATTAGAACGTGCTGTATTTGGTTGAAACGCTTTTTTCAGATTGAAGTTAAAATTAAAGTTCTTTCGTTAAAGTTAAATTTCTTAAATTAAAGTTAGTGTAAGTCATTTAGTTGTTAGTTCTGATCACGATTAGTTGAGCTCAAAATTTTTGGTATTGTTTTTTCTAAAATTACTCGGTACATAAGAGCTTACACCCCCCCAAGAAAATTTCCTGGAACCGGCCCTGAGTACACCTTCAGGAGTTGCAAGACTAGAGCTATGGTTTTGATGGGATATGCAAATACCTTTTCGATAGAGGCAGCCTTGCCAATCACGAAAGCTTGGTGGTCTTCGTTCATTATTGAGACTACTTTCGCTGTTTTCTTGGATCTTTGTGCCCCAGAATGCAGCTTAAGTTTCTGATTATACTTTCGTTGCCGGTGTAATATGCGTTTTGGTACCCTATGCAAATATGTAACATTGTGAAACGCAATGTGTTTCAAATCATGTGATTTCATCGTAGTGCGATATTATGACACTTTATAAATAACATATTGAACACAATGCTTTTTGAGTTTAAAATTTCACATTTTTCAATCAAGAAAACTTTGGAGTCGCCATTAATGTTGTACTTTTTTGCATAAACTTAACAAGGGAAATCACAGCACCGCTTCTTGTTAGTAGCCTCTTGTTAGAAATAGTTCCATTGTTCTTTACATTCTGAACAGTATGAACCAGAACTTTTGTGTTCCCAGACCGGTTCGCATGCTAAATTCCACCATTCGTTTCGGTTCCCTGTTTTTTAAAAGCTTTGGTACATTTTTTATAAGCAAAATAGTCATGCGTTTGTGTACCGGGACCGTTTTGCATGCTTAATTCCACCATTCGTTTTGGTACCATTTTTGTTTAAGTGCTTGGGTACGATTTTGCATACCCAAAATTGCCATGCGTTTGAGTACCCGGACCGAAATGCATAAGGTTACCGAAACGCATATGACACCGGCAACAACCTACAATTCGAGCAAAATAGCTCATTTCTTCGAGATATTTCTTCCATGTTAGCGCTAGTGTCATCAGTCCGTGAGAACATTTTGTAAAAACGCCACCAGAAAACGCCAGATGGAGATTTGATGAGACGGCCTGAGTTCGTAACATCAAACCCAAGGAAACATTCAGTGTTTGGTTCAAGAACATTCATGGATGTGCTAATCCTCCTTATGGGGCTAAAGCAATGAAAGTGGAAACAAAGTCAACGCTAAAAATTTAGAAAAAGCACACGAGCAAGCAAACGGCAAAAGAGAGGCATCAAGGCAAGTGCATAAAAAAAGTGGAGAGCAAAAGAGTATTTTTACATTGATGAAAAAAAGAGAATCTTATGAGACTTGCTCCCGAATTCTTTCGAAGCGCTGAGGGTCACAGGCCCCTGACAATTCAATTTATCGTAGCTTAAGGAGGAGAAGCATCGGAGACTTCAAAAAGCAAGTAGAAGTCCCTCCAAGATGTAACCACAAAAAGGCGGAAACCAGAATATTTTGCATGGTAACTCGAAAGATGCAAAAGTAGTTGCTGTTGCAAAAGATACTAATTTATGTGTGCTGCTTGTTCATGCAACACAGAAATGCAAACCCATAAATTAGTGGTTTATGTGCATAAATAACAAACAAATCGTCAAGATTTGAAGCATCGCTGAAACTTTTGGTTCCAAAATTTGCTGTATTTTATCACAGATTAATGGAATTGTGGGCTGAGACAACTGCATATGAGCACAACATTGATAAGGTTACTGTGAAAAAAGCTAACGAGGAACCAGAAACAAGTCATCATTAAAAGTCTCTCCGAAGGAGTTATCGCAAAAGCAAAGACATTCGCGAAACAGCAGAATATAGTGGAACAACATATAAAAGCTATTTAGGGACAAAGATATTTATCAAATCTGAAAAAAAACATCTGCAGCAGTTCCAGCAGATCCATAATCACTCAATCAGAAAAGAATTAAGTTGTATCAACTTAACAAGGTCATTTTGGCTACACTGTTTAGGTGCAATTAACAAGACATGTCCCAAAAGCCTGATGTTGAAATTTGGACGACATACTCGATCGTTTAAAGGGCCACTCCAGCCCAAAATTTTTATTTCAGAACACGATGTAATCAGACCTCCTGAAAACGAATCTCTCATTATTTTTTTCATATCTCTAACCGTTTTGTAGTTATTAGCGTTTGTAAAATGGTCATTGAGTTGAATTGTTCTTCAACCGTGTTATCGGAGATCTTCGGATTGACGTCACAGGCATTTTCGGCCTCGGTAAGTTCGCGGCAAGTATCATCGGCTGTCCAAAGGGTCAACGAGAACCTAGCGAAATGGCAGACAGGGCCTAGCAGCGGCATGTTTGTTAGAAGGCCAGACTTTTATCTGGAATCGATATAAAGAGAGAAGTATCGCTCATCAGTCTTGATACTCTGATCGAATATGGAAGTTTTTTGTCGCACGAATCTTTCTGACAGAGAAGTCAAATTGGCAAAGTAGGCCAGCGAGACAGAGACATGAGGATGTTGACAGACTTTCATGGAATGTTGCTTTTGAAGCAATTTGTATTGGCAGGCCAGTTCCCTGATTTTAAAAAGAAGATTCGCGCTTTTTCATCGGCCCCATCTTTAGTGCAACAGCTAAAAAACCATCGCGCAATTATTTCGGGAGGAAAGAAGAAAACAAAAACAGTATACCGGGAATGAAAGCTGTATGAATTGATACAACATATTCATTAGGATAAAGAGCTTCATATCAACATGACTTATTGGAAATAAAACAGGACAAATGAGAACATGGACAAGAAAGTATACAACTTTCAAGACAAGACTAAAAACCTACCATTAGTCATGAGTCAAACAACTTTTTCAAAAATTATAAATTTGTTTTTATACAAACAAAAAAGGGATTTGAGATTATATTAATAATTCAACTTTTTCAATATACTTTTGTAAATATAATTTTTGTATTTAACCTTTAAGCTATTACAGGGGCCTTGTCGGCTCCTTTAAGCTGTCAGAATCTCAACCTGCTATATTTATGAATAATAAATACATGTTTGATGTATTTAAATACTTGGCTACATTGAATTATACAATCAGGCCAGTGAACTAGCTAGCAATTTGTAATTTCTATTGCACATGAGAAATGTTCTTATAAAAGTATCATGAAACAATAATCTATTGCAAAACTTCTAGAAAATACCTATATGTTGTTACTAGCTTTAAATAATTTGCAAACATTATATATGACCAAATTATATATAAAATTTTGATAATTTTAAATATAGTCTCCTTTGTAAAAATGTTAATACAAAAACAGAATAATGTGTTGAGGTCTTTGTGGTAACTCTTGAATGGAAGAGAGGGGCAAGTTATCACTCCCACAAAGCCAGTAGCCATATAACAGGATGCATGTAATCTCCAACCTTCATCTAGCATTTTTTTGCAAGATCCTTTCTGCTGATCCATAAAAGAGTTTGTAACCTTTTTTATGCCTAGAATAATAAGGTTGACAGGGATAAATACTAACATACCAGTGAAATTTACTTTTGAGTCATATTAAAACATAAAATGATCAAAGAAACTTGGACACTCAGGGGCATTCAGAGTATAGATATTTAGAAGGATCAAAGAGAAATTTAGGGGTGAAAGGGCAACCACTGTCACTATAGCAAATAGCATCTAAGGATATTAACTTGAAGTAACACAAAGATGAATTTAAATGATATAGGCTATGCTGATATGAATCAATGCTAGAATAGCAAAGGTAAATTTAACAAATATAAACAATTCTGCCTTTAAAACATTAGAATGAGGATATTACACATCTTTTTTCCAAAACCAAGGGTGTAAATTCCATGTTTTTTCTTTTGGGTAGTAGATCTTTTGCCCTGGATATTGATCTGGCAAAATTTTGAAATTGTGCATCAATTTTATGATGAAATAGGCAGAAGTCCAAAATTGAAGGCAGAACAAGGTAGAACATGAAGAAGAAGGGTTCAGGAGACAAACCCTGGGAAATTTTACACATCTATACCTCAGGCAAAGGTGTAGTGCACAGATCATTGGCAGGGATGTAGTGCTAGGAGGCTCAGGCCCCCTTGTTGGTACAAAAAAGTAGCAAACTTCTACTTTTGGTAATATTTTATGTGACATTTTGCTTGAGAGCCCCTGTTGTACTTTTCATATTACCACATTTCTGACCATTTGGGGGACAGTTCACAAGACTGGCTGTTAGAAAACCTGTATTTAGAGCCCCTCCAAACCTCTATACCCTGCAGATTCGCCTAACATTCAACATAGTAAAATGATAATAAGGATGAATTGTGACTTACGGGAAAGTTTCCATCTTGTGAATGGGGTTCTTCTTCTACTGCGGTGAGACATCAATTCTATTATTCAGCTCCCTGGAAATCCCTGAGATGACACGACGATAAGAAATGCCTTCGGTCAGAAATCCATTCACATCTGAAAATTCGTGAAGCATTCCATATTGAAAAGCTTGCTGCGTTGCCAAGATGAGGATATGAGTTCAGGTTGAAGCTTCCATCTTTGATTTGTCGAATTACTAGTCCATGTTGGCTGGAAGCCTCCGCTGAACATCAATCGCAATGAAGGAAAATAAATAAAACGACAACCGAGATTCCGACATGAATCGCCTCTTCCGAGCCTCTACCGAGTCGTGCGAATTTCAGTGCGAACGTATAACAATAGCGCCGAATGTTGAAACAATAGCCCTTTCACACGTCACAAAGTGCTTTTTCCGAAAAAAATTTTGTCGTATTTTTACGGTGATTTTCAACTTTGAGCGTCTATATCTGGAAAACGAGTTAAGCTTTTTGAAAAAAAAATTCAC